ATAATTATTCTCCATTTGACACTTGGGGTCGGGGGAGGGGGGGAGGCCGCCTGGTTGGGGTCTGGGCTGTGGGTAGGCGTTGGACCTTGGGGGGTGGTTGGGGATGGGGCCGGTGCTCAGGTTCTCCCTGGGTTGTTAGGATTTTTTGATCAAAGGTTCCTGGTTGCGATGGCCGGCCCTTTGGCTGGAGTGGCTGCCAGGTTCCGGCGGGGGGTCGGCTGTGGTTGTGTGTGTGGTCATTGGTGGTGTATGGCGGAGGTCGGGGACGTGGCTTCGCTTTGATGGGGCGCTGGCTGGTCAACCTGGTATGACATTCTCAGTGGGGGGTGCTATGTGTATGGGGGGGTGCATAGGTGGCGTGCCGGGGCTTCTCCCGGCCTGTGGTGTGGGGCTGCTGGGGTGCCTGGTCCTTGGTGCGCTGGGCCGGCCTTCCTCAGTTATTGCTCCCTGCTGCTCTGGCCCTCGGCCTGGGGCTGGCTTGTGGTCACTGTCGGGTGGGTGGCGGGTTGCCGGTGGGGCCTGTGGACTCGTCGCTGCAGCCTCCTGGGGTTTCTGCATTGTGGTTGCTGGGGATCGCCCGGAACTTCCCTTTGCTTCTCTCTGGGGGGGGGGGGGGTGCAGTTTTCCCTGTTGGAGGACTCCCAGAGCTCCGGGCTTGGGGGCCGCTGTGTGTCTGTGGCTCAGGTCCTTTCTGTGTTACCATCGTGTCCTGTGGGTCCCCACATCCACTATTGAACATTTTTATGGAGAAACCTTATAGTGACAAGCATGCTCACACAGGTGTTTAGATTCAGGTGTTCATCAGATACACACTCAGTTGGGTTGTGGTGGCCACTACATATATCTTGTATTACCATGTACTGTATAAAATACTTTCTAATTATGTTATGAGTATCATTATGTTGTTTGTTGTTGTGGTTTCTCGGTTTTGTATTTTTTCTCTTTCCGCAGGTCTAGAGGCAGACTTCAATGATGTTGATTTGTGTTCTCTTTATCCCTCTCTCTCTCCTCTATTCTCATCTCCTTCTTTACCTTTTAACTCTTCTCTCACTTTTCTGCTTTGTTATCTTCTTTGTTTTTCATCCCCATGTCCATTACATCTGAAACAAACCCAAAGCATATTCTAATAAAATTTAATTCATATATCAAGTGGAGCATTAAGGCCAGCCATAACGCTCTGCTTGTGAAAGTAAATCTGTTGGGCATCACTTTGACACTCAGACAATAATTCTGAGTGTCACAATGCCGGACAGGACAAGGAGGGAAAAAAAAGGAATGCCATCCGGTATAAAAACAATTGTCTTTGTGTGACTTATTTCACTGTGGCAACCCCTGAAGAAGGGAGCAGCTGAAAGAAGAAAAAAATATTTTGCATGCTTCTAGTTTGAAATGTTTGTTTTGCATTTTGCCTCCATACTGAGCTTAAATAACTCACTGAAACATGTAACACTAGTCAAGCTGAAAGAGCTGATCAGGAGGCAGCTGATGCACCTGTGTTTCGGCTGGCAGGTGGAAACAACACGACTTCAAACAGAGCAGAAGGTCAGAGGTGAGTCCGCTGCACCACAGAGCACCTGACCATTGAAAATCACAGATTATTGAAGTTTCTTTGCCCAGCAAAGAGCCAGCTGCTGTCAGGATGTTGATGTGGGGATGTCAAGGCTGCAGTCTCTGGAGTGATAGACTAGATAGAAGTTCTACCAAGTCAGGCTTTCCTCCATTAGCCTGGCTTTACAAAACCTAAAACTTCACTGAGAAACTCCAGGTCCGACAGTGAGGGTTCTGATATCAGCCTTAGTCAGACTTTGGTCTCTGACTCTTATGTGTCAATCACTTCATTAATCCAATCAAATCTGTTATTAATGAACGATACAACGATGTTCATGGAACTACTGGAACAAATCTGACGCCTCAGTAAATCGAGCGTGTCTGCATCATCATCAGCTTGGTCGGATGATGTCGTGTTTCTGCATCTAACTGGCACATGGCAGGAATATGTCTCACGAGTCCAAACTTACTGGGTTCTTTAGCTGTTTCTGCTGAATGTCATGCAAGGTGAGATTTATCCTTAAGACCATTGTCCTCAGGCTTTAGGCTGCATTTAGAGTCATGGCAAGGGCCTACAGCCGGTGACTCAATACTCCTTGTTCTGTTCTTGGGGGTCAGTAGTTTTACGTTCCTGCTTCTTAAACAATCAACTTTTTACAATGAAGTTTATTTAAAGTCCTGGCTGTTGTGTTGTAGTCATTGTTCTTTTGGCTTCTCCCTCCTGCAGAGGTCTTCACAACAAGCACGCTCACACAAATGAATAGGCACTGTTGTTTTTTCTGATGCAGCCTGGGGCTTGAACCTGCAGCCTCAGGATTACTGACCACTGATCCACCACAGCCCTCTGCAGATGCTTTTTATTTATTCTTCTTCCCCTTTTTAGCACATCTGGCATGTGTTTCTACAAGTGTGTGTGTATGTGTGTGTGTGCGTGCGTGCGTGCATGCGTGCGTGCGTGCGTGCGTGCGTGCGTGTGTGTGTGTGTGTGTGTGTGTGTGTAGCTGTGGGTTGGTTAGTGTCTTTTGTTGTCTTGTGTTTCTGCAGGAGTTCATTGTGACTTTCTATGTCGTGTGGGTTTGGGAAACCATGTTTTGGTACATAATGAAGTCTGTGTGTGTGTGTACCCACGTGCATGTGTGAGCGTGAATGTGTGTGTGTTTGTTTCCTTATGAAACACACATCAACACTCTGGCCTCTGACCTGCAGCTCTGGGAGCAGACCAGCCTTACTTCTCCTCCTCCTCCTGTTTAACTGCCTCCCCTGATGTGGGACAGGATGTCGCCATGACGACGGGGTAAACAGATGATAACAAGCCCGCGGAGCAGCTCTGAGGACCAGAAGCAGAGACAAACGCAGGAGGACACAGGTACGACCCTGCAGGACACCAAACATCTGGAGACAGGCAGAGTTCAGGTGGGAGAACATCTGGACACATTTAATTTTCCTACAGTCTTTGATTATTGATTTTATTCAATCTTTAGATTATTGTTTCCAAACAGATTCTTTAAGTTAAATTTGTTTTGACGTTAGTGCTCTGCAGAAATTAACACTGCTTGTTTATTGTTTGTGAACTGTCAGTGTGTGTGTGTGGGGGGGGGGGTGTGACTTTACACGCACTAACACACCCAAACATTTCACCCACTGAAACAAAACTTGGCAGTCGTTTGTATTTATTACTGATCATGGTCTCTAATGAGCGTGAGCACAGCCTGCAGACACTGCTCAGGGTTTATTGTTGCTCTTTCTGCTAATATCATTCTGAGTAATTCAGGTATTCAATGATTGCTTTGAACACCTTCAGGGTCCAGATCTGAGCTCAGTTATTGGAGCTGAATAAAGTCGTATTCTGGATCCAAACATGCTGATGAGTCAGAGCTGATGTGATCGTTGTGCAGCTTTAAGATCCACATTAGAGCTCTTTGTTCTGATAGAAATCCTGATCAAATATGTTTAAACAGAGCTGAAAACCAACAAATATCTGTCTTTCTCATTGAAATAATTGAAGATAAATATTTAAAACCTTTAAAGCTACTTGTTCCATTTTCATGAAGAAAATAATATTGGAAGTCAAAAAAGAAAAAGAAAAGAAACAAAATCCAAAAAACTTCTTTCTCACATCAATAAATGGTAAATGGACTGTACTTATATAGCGCCTTTCTATCTTATTTCAAGATACTCAAAACGCTTTACACTACAATCTGTGTCCTCATTTACCCATTCATACAGCTCTATACTAGATCTCTACAAAGATAATTGAACAAATCATTCTAATGAGACTAATCAGTGCTTTATATCACATACACACATCAATAAGTAAATTAGTCTTTGAGTTAGGTTTGGAAGTGATGGTATCCATCAGTACCTAGTTCAGTCCGCACTGAGAAAACACTGCATGTAATAATGTCCTGAGAGCGCACGCTGTAGCTGCACTCACACAGTGAAGATAACAGACCAAGTAGTGATTTAAAGATAAAAATGTACCAGTGGGAGAGTCTGCATAAAGTTAATGATGACCATTTAACCATTGAATACAGGGTGCAGTGATGGGTATGGTAGTTACAGCCAGTTATGAATCTAAAGCCCCTTTTCCACAGCTCCTCTTCAGCCCGGTTCGGCTCGGTTTGGTACGGTTTTGAACGCTTTTCCACTGTCATTTTTTCCTGGAATCAGACCATTTTTTAGCCCTTGCTTCTCTGGTGGGACCAAACGAGCTGAGCCGGCACCAAAACGTGATGTCAGTACACTGTCTGTCACTGAATGGTCGGAGGGAGGAGTCACTAGATCTTTCAGAAACTGTTCTAAACACAGATCCGAATTTGCAATTACTTGGAAATCGGAGAAGCAGCTGGATCTATTTTAAAGCTTTTAAAAACAATAATGACAACACCGTGGTCTAATGCTGAAGTGCAGGGGTTTTTTGTGTTTGTTGGCCGACGACAAAATTCAGAGTGAGCTAGATGGAGCTCTGCCGGTCTCCCCAGTCTTCCACCGGAGTTTCGAGCTGCTGACTCACGGAAGGCCGCTGCCCAGACCCCGGCCTTGCCTGCTCATGAAGGCCGAACCCAGATCCAGGCAGGGGGCTGGCGGACCGGAACGGAGGATGGAAACGATTTTAAAAAACATTTTATGTATTAAAAATTAATGTGTTTTTTTTCTTTGATGATTTAAAAACAAATAAATGAAGGGAGACGGCTTTTTCATGAAATTCTGTTTTCACTTTAATGACTATTAAATAATCTGTTAAAGTTAACTCAGCTGAAAAGACACATAATTATAGGATATCTCATGAATATTTGCCTCAAATATGTTTAAAGAAGCGATACAGCCTTTATTCAGCTTTATTCTAACCCACAGATGTACACATCACAAAACAAGAATTACACTTTAAATTAAAGCTTTAAATCAAAGCTAAACTGTAAATCAAAGCTAAAAATAATCTGTATACAAGAAAAAATAATCTGTATACGAGAAAAAATAATCTGTATACAAGAAAAAATAATCTGTATACAAGAAAAAATAATCTGTATACAAGAAACAAAACCACAATGAGCGCAAATACATCAAATGATGAAGAAAAATATTGAATTTTAAATATAGATATCCTGATGCATGCTCAATAATCCAGATAGAAAAATCTAAAAAAGTTAAATCTGGTCTTCTGTACATTCAAAAAACAAAATCAAACAAAAAAACAAAAACAAAAAAAAGTAGAAACATTTCTTCTTTCATCCAAAATACTTCTTCAGTCTGAGGAGCTGTATTCAGCTCAGTCTTTAAAAACTATCTATTTATGAGCAGAATACAGCTCCTCAGACTGAAGAAGTCTTTCAGATGAAAGAAGAATCATTTCTACTTTTTTTGTTTTGTTTTGTTTTGTTTTTTGAATGTCCAGAGGACCAGATTTAACTTTTTAGATTTAAATATAGATGTTTTTTGTAGAATCTGGTTCATCAGATTTAATTCAATTCAGTTTATTTATACAGCACCAAGTCACAACAGAAGTCGTGTCAGGGCACTGAACAGAAACATTCATATAAACAATAATAATTTAATATTATTTATCTGAGGAGCAGACTGCTTTGAGTAACTCATCGCAGAACTCTCATTAGCAGGACTTGAATTCTAGACACACCTCCAGAATCGGTCCTAAAGTGCAGGTGCAAATCCAGGCTGAGCTGAGCCAGGCTGAGCTGAGCCAGGCTGAGTAGAGTTGGGGCTGATTAGGAGCAGTGCAAATGGGTCAATAGACAGCATCCAACATCTGCAGAGTGCTTGTACTGTAGGTGTGTTCATGTAAATAATATCACCGGAGTCAATGGAGGGAAGGAAAGTCACAGTTACAAAGTGTTTCCTAGCATTCAGGGTTAGACAGGAACTATTTCTGAAAAAGAAACCCAGTTTAACTTTCAATTTCCTTACTAGGTTTTCCACGTGAAGCTTAAAAGAGAGATGCAAATAGACCGAGATACCCAAATATTTGTAGGAATCGACAAACTCAATAGGGACACTATTTGAGGATAAAATCAGAGGAAGAACTGCTGGGATTGACTTCCAGTTTGAAAACAACATCCCTTTGGTTTTGTTGGCATTTAGGACAAGTTTGAGATGGAACAAATCTGACTGGATGATGTCGAATGCAGATTGTAAAAGCTGTAAAATCTTAGCAACTGTTCTAGCTCAACAATAAACAATTGTGTCATCAGCATAGAAATTTAAGGATGCATCAGGGACGATCTGACCTACATTATTTATGTAGATTGTGAAGAGAGTAGGTCATAAGACTGAGATTTGTGGTACACCATTGTTACCAGTTAGATAGATGGAAGAAGTACCATTATGTTGAACACATTGCCTACAAGCTGAGAGATAGTTAGAGAACCAACCAATGGTATGAGCTGAGAAACGAATTTCTGAGAGCTTATGACACAAGATGTTCTGATCCACAGTGTCAAAAGCTTTAAACAGGTTTAAGAAAAGTGCAGCACAATGATCCTTAGCATCCAGTGCTTCAACAACGTCATTAAGAACCTTCAGTGAAGCAGTGGTTGTGCTGTGTTGTTTCCTGAAACCAGATTGATGTGGAGGTAAGATGTTAAATGAGTCCAGATACTTCTTGATTTGAGAATTTATCAGTTTTTCTAGAACCTTGGCTAAAATACAGAGTTTTAAGATTGGTCGATAGTTGTTCAGTGAGGTGGGGTCACCTCCCTTCAGCAAAGGCAGAACAAAAATTGAACAGGGAAAGCAGATAAATGTAAATGTTTTGATGCAAGAAGTTTACGTGAGTAGGAGTTACACTGTAGAACAGTGGTCCCCAACCCCCGGTCCGCGGATCAATTATTGCCGGGCCGCACGTCTTTGAGCACCAACATTGAACCCACAAGCTAGCAAAATGAGTAAGAAACAGATGTCTTTGGAAAGTTTCTTTCCGAATGGGGAAATGCCCAGTGAAGAGACAGGAGAAGAGTCCATATCTAAGAAAAAGAAAACTTTTAACAGACAATACCAGGAGTCCTACTTGAAATATGGATTTATCCCAGTAGGTGATTCTCACATACCAAGCCCGCTCTGCATAATATGTGGCGCACAGGTGCCTCTGTCGGTTACCACCGTGATTCGGCACATTGAAGAAATAGCCGAAGACATTGAGACACAATTGTTGGAGAGGGTTAATAAATCACCGTGGTATGCCCTCCAGGTTGACGAAGCTACAGATGTTGACAACAAAGCAATATTATTTGTGTATGTGTGATATATTTATCAGGAGGATGTGCATGAGGATATGTTATGTGCACTATTGTTGCCAACCAACACCACCGCTGCAGAACTGTTCAAGTCGCTGGATGGTTATGTATCGGGAAAACTTAAATGGTCATTTTGTGTCAGGATATGCACAGACGGAGCTGCTGCCATGACCGGACGGCTGTCTGGTTTAACTGCTCAGATTAAGGAAGTGGCACCTGAATGTGAATCTGCACATTGTATCGTTCACAGGGAAATGCTGGCAAGCTGAAAAATGCCAGCAGAATTGAACAGCATATTAAATTATATTATTAAAGTTATTAACTACATCAAAGCACAAGCCCTTAACTCACGCCTGTTTGAGAAACTTTGTGAAGAGATGAACGCAGAGCACAGACACCTTCTCTTATACACAGAAATAAGATGGTTATCCCAAGGGAAATTGCTGGCCAGAATGTTTGAATTACGAGAGCCGCTGTAAAGATTTCTCTCAGAAAAGAAGTCACCGATGGCAGCAAATGTCAGTGATGAGGAATGGGTCACAAAACTGGCTTACCTGTGTGACATATTCAACCTGCTCAATGAACTCAATCTGTCACTTCAAGGAAAAATGACAACTGTCTTCAAGTTGGCAGATAAAGTAGCTGCATTTAAAGCCAAATTGGGTTTGT